GAGCCAGGGGGAATAACTACAACAGGGAAACGCACTGATCACAGAATGCCATGGGGTTGGAAGGGACCTCTGGAGATCATCTAGTCCAACCCCCAGAGTCCACCCAGAGCAGGTCCCACAGGAACATGTCCAGGGGGGGTTTGAATGTCTCCAGAGAAGGAGACTCCACCACCTCCCTGGGCAGCCTCTTCCAGGGCTCTGCCACCCTCACAGCAAAGAAGTTCCTCCTCATGCTTAGGTGGAATTTCCCATGTTCAAGTTTGTGCCCATTTCCTCTTGTCCTGTCCCTGGGCACCACTGAAAAAAGGCCGGCCCCATCCTCCTGACACCCCCCCTTTAAGCTGATGATAGCAGGTTACTCAAACTATAGAGAACTGTAAATACTCAGGAAACATTTACACTGCTATGGTCAATTAATTCTTTTTCAAGCTCAATTAGTGGCTTGGAGAAAAAGCCAGAGATACTCTGCTTCAAGGAAAAGCAGGTCTTATTTACAACAATGAGAAGTCACTGTCTCAGCTTATTCCCTCCCTCTTATACCTTTTCTCAACCCTCCTCCACAGATAGAAACAGGTAAAATTCTCCTGCCATCACATGGCCATGACAGAAGGCAAGAGCACAATAAAGGTTGTGTGCCCTGAACAGCACACAGGCAGCTGGCACCGAAGTGTCAAACCAATCTCGCATCTGGGCACCCAGGGAGCAAGGAGGATGAGGGATGGTGTGGATTCTGGTGAGTTGGGGAGATAAAGAAAAAGCCCCCAAGCAAAGTGACAGGGCTAACAGAGATGTCCTGCAAAGAAGATGACACAAAAGGGACAAAAGAAGAGAGGAAAGACATCAAGATACGAATGGACAAGGTGCAGGTAATTCTGGTCCACATCTGATCTCCTCACACCCAGAGCAGCACGTTTCACGCTCTCCACATCTGATCTCCTCCTCACACCCAGAGCAGCACGTTTCACGCTCTGGCCACAGTAAACAAGAACCAGATCAGGAGTTTTTCAGTTTTCTTGTTTGAAGGTGGACAGACAGGATGAGATGCTACAGCAACAGAACTGATAAAATAATGCTGGACATCCATGTTCAACCATAAGGCAATCCAAAAGAGAGAGAAAGACTTTGCACGTAACCACACACACGTGTGTGTGGAATTTCCTCAGTGGGCATGCCAAAATACAGCACACTTGTCTTCACACAAACACCAGCCCCTGGTACCCTCTAACCAAGCGTCTATTCACAAACACTTCAAAGCAAGGTTAGAGCCTTTCAACGTGAACTAGTTAGTCGATGAGGAATCACACACAAAGCAGCTTAAAGCAGCTCTCAGTAGTAACACACTGGGAACCCAGCCATCTCCTGCTGCTAATGCACCTCCTACGGCTTTGTCTTCGCTCTCAGCAGCTCAGCTAATGCAGAGCGACACCGCTGCGCACAACAAAGGACTCCCATTCTGCTGCAAGGCAAGCCTGTGTAAGCAGAGCCCTATTCTGACAGGAGGAAGGTAACAAAGGCTAGCCTAAAAAAAAAATGTAAAAATGAAAATGTTTTTTACCTATATCTGAACACACTCGTGCTCCACCCCTCGCACGGCCAGCGTGACACTGCCAAGCAGGGCTGTCCTCCCTGCGGCTGCCTGACACAAGGACACAACACACGCTGGTACAATGACACAACCAGGTGTGATGCGCACTCTCACACATTTTGAATGTCAACTCTTCTTACTCTTTGGCTGCTGTTTCTGCAGTCAAGAAGAACAATTCCTGGGCTCCTACATTGCCCCCTCCCACTCACTAAGGCCAGAGGATCTGAATGTTAACTGCACTGCACTTCTTTAAAAAAAAAAATGTTCAGCTTTTACTCCCTCATTGGAAACTGATCATGTAACTGGGGAAAAAAAAAATTTCCCTGTGGGCATATTCAAAGCCTGGAAAAGGTGCCCCATGGGGCTGTGGACTCTCCATCCTTGGAAATGTGTGAAACCTGCCCAGACAATGCCCTGAACAACCCTCATCAAAGCTAGTCCTGCTCTGAGCAGGCAGCTGGATGAAATGACCTCCAGAGTCATCTCAGAGCCTGTCTTTACAGACTGACAAAAGCTGGAGGGGTGAGAAGAGACAAGTGATTTTCCTTCTTTCTTTGTCCCTCTCAGACAAGACACTAGGGCTGCCTCTCAGCGCCTTAACTCCCAGCTGAAAAGTAACAACAGTTGACATTCAAAATGTGTGCGCGCATCGCATCTGGTTGTGTCATTACACCAGCATGTGTTACTTGTGTCAGGCAGGTCCAGGGAGGACAGCCATGCTTGGAAGCATCACGCTGGCCTTGCAAGGGCTGGAGCAGATTTGGGCTGTATAAGCCCATCCAAATTTCGATCACTTTCTGATCACTGTAACAGTACCCGTAAAGAGTGGGACCACTCGAATTCCATCAAAAGTGCAAAGCAAAGTTTTTTAGCTACACACCCTGTATGTAGGGTAGGAAGTGGCTGAATCGTCCCTCTGAAGCTGTTAGCCAGGCTAGGTGCTTAGCAGGATTCAAAAGGGGATATCTCCTGGGTTAGAAGGATCATCCATCCTTGAAACATTAAGCCAGCTTCCTCGACTCACACATAAGCCAACAGCCCACAATGCAAACCCTTCCCAGCCTTCTAACTAATGCTGTAGCTCTCCTCTCATGCCCCATGTCTCTGCCACGGTGCACAGAGAGTATCAGCATCCCCTAGTACAGTGGCTGGCTCATTAGATATGCTTCTCATGGCAGCATACACGGAGTTAAAAGCTGCCTAGGAAAATGGAGAGGATGGAGATGAAGAACAGGCTGCTTGAAGCTCTCTGGATGCATTACAGAACCTTGTTTACATGAATATTAATTTTTTGTTTGGAGATTCAAATGAGCGCCATCTCCATTCTGTTTTGGCTTATCTGACCTGTTAACAGCAGGGCAGCACAGGATATGAATTCCTTGCTTTCCCTGCTGTCTCTTTTCCATGCTAATTTTACTTTTATGCAGGTGATCAAATAGCAGAGAGATGTATTGGAAGAGGAGAGAACAGTCTAATTATCTCAGTTAATTTGGTCAGAATCAAAAGGATGCTCATCCAGAAAACTGTTAGCCAATCAAGTGGGCTGGAAGTACTTAAATAGCCTAAAGGACAACTCTGCAGAAACTTAAATTCATAGTGCAGCACAGTCTAGATCAGTGTGGTTCATTTGAGTCTGTTGTGACAAGAACAACTTTCATGAACTGTCATTTTGCAGCTATTTATATTTTATTGTCAGTTACTATATTCATTACTGCCTGCAATTCACTAGGTCCAACTGATTTGGGTAAGGAAATTTTCGAACAGAGAGTCACAAAGTATATTTTCCTGTTACTGATTCATGGGCAAATACCCAGCCCAGCCTTCATTAAAAAAATCTTGATTAAGGTTAATGAAAATCTTCATTAAGATTTTCTAATTCTACCAGGTGAAACAAAATTCATGCAAGGCAGAGGATGATAACATTCTTAGAGACAGAAAACCTCCTGGTTTTTATCCTATAAATACAGAGAAGTGGCATAACTCAGCTTGTTTTAAACGAGCACACCAAAAGCCATGCTCGCAGCGTACTCAGGAGCCAGCTAATGAGGAACCTGAGAGTCACACAGCTATTGCCATCAGGAACATCTCACTGAGAGGGACAGGTCGAACTTCTAACATTTTTTATTCTTGCAAAAGCTCCCACTAATATAAATTCTGCTAGGGCTTAAAGACATGCATGACAATGATCAATCCTTACAACAGGCCCATCCTTTCCTAAGATGCTAAAATCTAAGTAAGAAAAATAAAATATTACCCTGTCTTCAATGTTGCAACACAAGCCTGATGCTTTACAGACTGCAAGGCATCAGATATTTTATACAGTTACTTTTAATGACTTAGAAAGGGAGAAGAGCTCACTGTCTTAAAGTAGACCTATGTATGGAGACTCCCACAGCACAGTTATTAAAGCCCCCTTATTTTAAAAGGGATGGATAATTGGGTTTAAGAAGAGGCACCAAGTTAGAAAGCAAGAGCATTAAACAGAATATGGTATTTCCAGTCAGTTAATTCGGAAGAAGCTATTCTTTCTCCACAAGCAAAGCTAATGATGTCTTCGAATCATCCCAGGAAAGGTAGCTTTCTTATTATTTGGCTTAATGAAAACCCCCATAAAATATAAACGTAAAGGAGCAACATTTGCTAGACAAAAAGCAGTAACTTCTCAGAAATTTCGCAGTTGCTCTAGAGTCACACAGAATTTGAATGTTTTTTCACTCCCAACTGGATTTCAAATACAGTGTAATGCTGCAGTATCATCTTGCTGTTTGGGTAAAATGTGTAGGCTAGAAAGTTTCCTGCTAACTAATGGCTGAAGAACATTAACTGGAAATTAATCAATGTTAAAAAAAAGATGAAAACAGAGGAGAACCAGGTCAGACATTTTTTAGCTCTCTAGAAAAGGGAGTTCTGTAGGGAAGATTAAAACACGTAAACATTATCAGCCCAATGCATTTGGCCTGTTTTCCAGAAAGTTAGTGTGGAGTTTCCAAGGGTTAAGAATGATTACATTTCGACAGGAGAGAACAGAAATAACAGGATACAGTCAACAATTTTGAAATGAAAAACTAATCTTGATGGTAGTGGAGGTCAACTTAAAACACTAGGTCAGTGTGCTGAGGCAGTATACGCAGGATCCCAAAAAATCACAGATCATCACTCTTCCACTGGAAGAATCGTTAAGTCAAGCCTGTCTCAATTTATGTGAGTAGGGGCTCGGGTACCTGCTACCCAGTGCTGTATTTGAAGAACCTTACAGACCTGAAATAATAAGAAAGGCTGTACATTTTTTATAACGATAGCTAAAGAAACCGGCAGTAGCTTTGTTCCTTAGCTAAAATACACTACAGAGCACACCTGTAGCACTACCAAGCCAAGCCCTGTGATATGAAACATGGTGATAGCAATGGTCACTTACGGCATTCCTTCTCATCACTGTCATCAAAGCAGTCGGGCAGCCCATCACACTGCCAGGCCCCCGGGATGCACCGCCCGTTGCTGCACATGAAGTTTCCAGGAATGTTGCATTCGTTTGTGAAGTTATTCCCAGGCAACAGCTGACTCTCTGTTGGCGACAAACAAGAAAGAGAAAAGTTTGCAGGGGATTTTTAAAAAAGGCAGACAAAGCACTCACTGAACAAGCTGGTTATCAGTCGTATCAACATGAGAGAAATGTTCACAACACCAAACTAGGTGGGAGCGTTGATCTGCTTGAGGGTTGGAAGGCTCTACAGAGGGACCTGGACAGACTGGATCAATGGGACAAGGCCAATGGGATGAGGTTCAACAAGGCCAAGTGCCAGGTCCTGCATTTCGGTCACACCAACCCCCTGCAGCGCTACAGGCTGGGGGCAGAGTGGCTGGAGCTGCCCAGCAGAAAAGGACCTGGGGGTGTTGGTGGACAGCCGGCTGAACAGGAGCCAGCAGTGTGCCCAGGTGGCCAAGGAGGCCAAGGGCATCCTGGCCTGTGTCAGGACCAGCGTGGCCAGCAGGAGCAGGGCAGTTATGGTGCCTCTGGACTGGGCACTGGTGAGGCCTCACCTCGAGGGCTGTGGTCAGTTCTGGGCCCCTCACTACAAGAAGGACATTGAGGGGCTGGAGCGTGTCCAGAGGAGAGCCACCAAGCTGGGGAGGGGTCTGGAGAACAAGTCATCCGAGGAGAGGCTGAGGGAACTGGGCATGTTGAGTTTGGAGAAGAGGAGGCTGAGGGGAGACCTCCTTGCCCTCTACAGCTCCCTGAAAGGAGGGTGTCGAGAGGTGGGGGTTGGCCTCTTCTCCCAAGGGAACAATGCCAGGAGCAGAGGAAATGGTCTGAAGTTGGGGCAGGGGAGGTTTAGATGAGATCTTGGGAAGAATGACTTTGCTGAGAGAGTGGCCAGGCCCTGGAACAGCCTGCCCAGGGAGGTGGTGGAGTCACCATCCCTGGGGGGATTTAAGAAACCTGTAGATGTGGCTCTTCAGGGCATGCTCTAGTGCCCAAGATTTCTGGGTTTGGTTCAACTCAGTGATCTTAAAGATCCTTTCTAACCATGAAGATTCTGTGATTCTGTGAAATGGATATTGACCCTGGTCATTTTGGCACTATTCTATCAGTGTCCCAAGCACAGTACTCGGTAGCACTTTCTTTTTCCTAAATTATCATTTTACCTGGTCTCCATTCACATTCCCCATGTTACATATTTCCTTCTTTCTTTCTCCTTTCTTTCTAGAAATACATATGCAGCCTTCTATGTATCCTCAGGTCAAAGCAAAGTTTGATTTAAAAAATAAATAAATGTCTCTTTCACAGGGTCAGTCTAAATACAACTAAAACAGCCGAGGCTACAAGAACTCAGCTCCATGTCTGTGTCAGATCTGTACTTAGCTTTGCAGAATATTTTGTTGTTACCCAAGGGCTTGGAACTAGGTAACACACTAATTCATACTAGGTTTTCAATTAAGTTTTAAACACAATGCGGCTGATCAGCGTTAGAATTGAGCTTCTTGGTGTTAATATAGTCCCCTGGCACACACGTGTCCGCAGGCCAGTAAGGCAGTTGGCAGGACTCAGTCAGCCAAGGGGACACATGTAGTCACAGGATCCTGGAGACCAGGAGAACAGAGCGGGAGGGAAACCTAGAGATCTGCCTTCAAGACTGAACACAGCTCTAGTCACTCATTTTGATCTGTGTTTCCCGCCTTGTGCATTGATTTTGGAATGCAGATATCACAGAAATGCAAACTTTGGGGAAGGAGGACAATGACAGTATTTTTAATAAGTTTTAATAAGCACCATGACACAGTGCTTATTAATTAGCACTAAAATGGCATGTCATATTGTCAAGCTGGGGGAAGCTGCAGGACAAGGCAGAGGATGAGGGAAAGAATATCCTTCCCCTGGTTCTCCTCTGTCATGGTCCAGAGGAGTCCCAGGCAACATGTCCGTCACCAGGCAAAACTCAGAAACACAAACCTTCCCACATAAGGGCAGAGGTGGCACAAAAACATGCCCCTCCTGCCCACCCTCATATCTTCATGGGTCAAACCCAGGAAGAACAAATGAAGCAAAGATGCAGCTTAATAAGTTACCTGTCATTTACCTATTTTGAAGATAATTGCATGATTTTTGGAGCCCTGGGGGAGTGGCAGACCTGCAGTCGGTTCCCCCATTGCCAACCTCTACACCAGCTTCCCTCCTGCTCCTCTTGGAGTCAGCACCGTCCTCTCCCAGGGAAGGCTGGGGGTCCTGGGCAAGGAGAAGCCCTACAGAGACAGCATGGCGAGCGCCCCACTGCTCCGTGCTGCATGGGACTCGGAGCAAACCACAGCTACCAAGACCAGCAGTCTCAGGGAAGACCCTTTCCTAGCTCATTCCTGCAGTCTCGGGGAGGAACCTGGTCCGTACAGGCATCTTTGGAGAACTCAGCTGCCAAAAAGACGGGTCTAAGCAGAAGGCTCCCCAGAAACTCCTGCACCAGCCAAATGCAGATGGTTCCCCTCCTCCCTCACCACATGGCAAAACACTCCATCCCCAACACAGGCAAAACTGCTAAGTCTTACTTCGCTGTTTCAAAAAAAAAGCCACGATAGGAATGCTTCAGGGAAGTACTTTTTTATGCCTATTTCTGCCCCAAACATGTATCTCCTCTCCAATGTTCTTTCTTGCAAATGGCTGACTCTCCCGGGGATGTTTTTGGAATCTGCCGGCACAGAGCAGATCCCTTAACGGAAACTCGCCCTGAGCTGCTAAAAGACAAGGTAGTTCAGAAAAAGTTGGAAGCAAGGGCTTTTGAGGCAGCTGGGCCAGTCTCAGCCACCGGCCACACACTCGGAGCCACCTTTAACTCTGATGCCATGGCACCTCGAAGAAAGAAAATGACAGCCGGAAAAAAGCAAGCCCAGGCCACGCAGCTGGCAGTTTGGCATCTTGTTGCTTTCAGCAGGATCATTGCCCGCATCACACCGATCTTCTGATCCATAAGGACAGGGTTTGCTCCCTGGGCTGTGATGGGAAGCGCCGCGGGCAGAGGCTGGGCCTGGTGGCCCCCCAGCCCCCAGGAAAGGCCGTCCCAGCGCTGCACTCCCGAGCACAGCCCCCTGGGACCCTCTGACCCCAACACCCAACACCAGCACTGCCAGGAACCACCCCGGCCACCGCAGCCCTACAGCACCACAACAGAGTCATGCAGTTCCCTCTTCAACCAACAAGGTGGGGTTTCTTGGTTGTGAGACGTTTTGTTTTTAGGGGCACAGAATCTAGTTGGAGGTCTGTAACAAGTGGAGGCCCCAGGGGACAGTCCTCTTCAATATTCATCAATGACCTGGATGAAGGGATGGAATGTACCCTCAGCAAGTTTGCTGATGACACAACACTGGGAGGGGTGGCTGACACACCAGAGGCTGTGCCACCATCCAGCGAGACCTGGACAGGCTGGAGAGCTGGGCAGAGAGGAACCTGAATGACTTCAAGGGTAGGGTGCTGCACCTGGAGAGGAATAACCCCCTGCACCAGGACAGGTTGGGGGTGACCTGCTGGAGAGCAGCTCTGTGCAAAAAGACCCGGGAGTCCTGGTGGATCATCCAACAAGATGACCATGAGCCAGCAATGGGCCCTTGTGGCCAAGAAGGCCAAGGGCATCCTGGGGGGCATCAGGAAGAATGTGAGCAGCAGGTGGAGGGAGGTCATCCTGCCCCTCTGCTCTGCCCTGGGAAGGCCCCAGCTGGAGCACTGGGACCAGTTCTGGGCTCCCCAGTTCCAGAAGGACAGGGAACTGCTGGAGAGGGGACAGCAGAGGCTACAAAGATGATGAGGGGCCTGGAGCATCTCTCTTACGAGGAGAGGCTGAGGGACTTGGGTCTCTTTAGTCTGGAGAAGAGAAGGCTGAGGGGGGATCTGACCAACACCTATAAATACTCAAAGGATGGGTGTCAGGAGGATGGGGCCAGTCTTTTGTCAGTGGTGCCCAGGGACAGGACAAGAGGAAATGGGCACAAACTTGAATGTAAGAAGTTCTATCTCAACATGAGGAGGAACTTGTTTCCTGTGAGGGTGGCAGAGCCCTGGCAGAGGCTGCCCAGGGAGGTGGTGGAGTCTCCTTCTCTGGAGACATTCAAACCCCACCTGGACACGTTCCTGTGAGACCTGCTCTGGGTGGACCTGCTCTGGCAGGGGGTTGGACTATATGATCTCCAGAGGTCCCTTCCAACCCCATGTGATTCTGTGACTCTCAAATTGCTGTCTGTAACCTGCACCTCTCTTCTAGCACCTGATGAAGGTCATGTTTTAAGAGGAATAGCTTTGAAACAGGCTTTAGTCCCAGTCCTGTGTTCCCATTCTGCAGCACAGCTTGCGTGGGGCTGTCGGCAAGTAACTTGTTTTGCCAGTATCTTTTGTTTCCCATTTTCTGGGAAGGTTAGTAATACATCCTTACTTTATAACAACATTGAGGATAAATTTACTGTATGCCAAAGGAAATCCTATAAACAAACAACAAACTGGGTAACAAAATCTGGTAGCTCTTCCTGGAATGTTGCTTCAATTTAGTAGGGTAGAAGTACAGCATTTATTTAAAGGAGTTGTTAAAGTAACAGGAAGGAAACCCTCCACGCGGTCCTCACCTCCCAGCCCTCAGGAATGCGATGTTCCTGCCCCCCAGTGCACAGCCCCCTGCCTAACTCGGGGGGCTCTGGGCACCTACCAGAGGAGGAGCCGCGTTAGACATGCATAGGGTGGCCATGGAAAGGACCAAACTAGAGAAAATGGACACGGTGATCTAATCGGGTGCCTACAGACATCAGGTGTTGGGCAGCCAACTTACTACAGCGCCTGTTGGCAGGACAGAAATCCCTTCCATCTGGCAGAGCTGCCTCTCCAATAGTTGAGGTATTTAACCTGCAGCCTCTTTGACTAGTTTTGAATTAAACCCAAATAAGAGCTACACGGATGTGTTCACTTAAGCAATGGAGGAAGGGAAAAAGGGGGAAAGAAGTAGTCCATTTTTACTGCAACACATTGCTCACTTTAAGCAGCATACCATCTGGGCCAAATAAAAAAAGGGACTCGTATTTCACTTTGAAGGG